AACGGGAACAATAAAAGGAGTGTTAACTTTTCTTGTTAAATCCTTTTACTACGCAAACAAATGCAGCCTAATGAAATCACACTTTGAAACAGTGCTAATCTCGCATCCCATTCCTCTGAGGATTTGGAGGATTTTTAACGAGATCCTTCCCTCCCAGTTTGCTTTTTGATAATAAGCAGATAATACAGATCAACAGACCGGCATCTTCACCATTATCCCCGGACTTACCTTCTCCTTGAACAAACATCTGATATTGTTACAAGAATTTGTTCATTAAATCAAATTAGCGACAGAGGCTGCACATTTTAATCATTTCTAAGAGCTTCAATAGGAAGCAAGTAGACTTCATTTTCAGTACTGTGCTGGGAAAGAGCTCAAGACTGCATTGTAAGTACCTGACAAGTGGCATCCTGTTTATGGATGGCATCCTTAACTCCTCTCTCAAACCATCTGTCTTGTCTATCTAGAAATATGAACATCATTGCCCTTAACAAAATGAGGATCACAATATTCACATGAGCCATGAGGTCTGAGGATCGGAAACTCCCCATCAGTGACTTAACACTGAAAAGACTTTTGGATGAGAGTTGGAAGATCTTCAAGAGGCAAAAAGAGAAATCCAGTCGCTCTCTATTCGAGCAGAGAGTCTATGCTGATGTTTTAACCAACTATCCATTATTCTTACACTGTTCCAACATTTACTTGCCAGCATTACTGCTATTTTAACCATTCAACCATCACTTCCTGCTAACTATTTAAATTCTTTTCTATTAAGTACTTTTGCTTGGCTTTTGTTTATTCGTTGCCTTTGGCTAAGAATTCCAATTTCGTATTAATTACCAGCTATTTCAACTGCTCATGTCCATAACCCTTACTATTCCAATTATCTGAGTCATTCTGCTAAACACTGAGTCTTCTGGATAAATTCTCTGTCTGTTATTGTTTTTCTTACACAGCCCCCGATTGTAATTCAGGCAGAATCAGGTGTCTTCCCAGGAGAAACAAAAGAAGAAAATTCAGAAGCCAAATGAAATTGTAATCTCCTGAGCTGATTAGTCTTATTTTGGGTTTTGGTCTTTTTTTTCTTTTTTTTTTCTGACTAATTTCTTACGATGTTGGTCATTTACAACTTTTTTTTTTTTAATCCAATCCTGTCTATGCACATTATTTCTTTCATTACTGATGAAAAGAGGTTTATTTATGCTCTGGATTACTAATGCATGAATAAAATGCTGTGCAGCTACAGAAGCTCCATTTCCAGAGGTTTGAACTCTGAGGTGTGCGTGGAGTCGTAGTGAAGTCTGGGCAGCGCTCAGGGCAGAAATACATCCAATATGCTTTAGTCATTATTATAGTTAATTAGACAGGAGAGCTAAGAGGATACTAAAAAGAAAGATGAGCTCAGAGAGGTGATGAGGCAGGCTCCGAGGAGGCAATCAGTAAACTTCAGTGCTCACATTTAGCTCCGCCAGAATACTATTACTGCAAACATCTGAGAGTGTAGGTGATTATTTTAGTCGCGGGGAATAGATGAGTCATTGTGTTTGCAATTGTCTTTGACTGGGCTGTGGGATACGGCTGGATATGAATTTTTACTAATCATCTTTGTCATAATAGAGTCAAGGATGCTTTTAATGGCGCTTGATGTAATTACAGTACAAAATGGAAGCTACACACCAACTTTCTAACCAACTACAACACTCACAGAGGAAGAACTCTTAAGAAATCGATGGATCTGTCTTAACGTACAGGCTATCTGTGGATTTATAGGGTCATGTTCCTGTACAAAATGTTTCGTCAAGCTTTTTTTTTTTCTTTCTAACTATACTCACAGTAATTTCATATTCAATTTAATTTCACTATCGCCACCAAAATTACGGTTTCTTTGTGAGAGAAAAAAAAAAAAACTTTGAAAGGGTTGACAAAGGGAAACCAGACACAGAAAAGAGCTTAAATGTCACATCTTTTTGTGGTATTATGTGAAAAAAGACCAGAGCGACTGCGCCGTTGAACAAAAGTGGTTCAATTTTATCCAAATTTTTATTTTTTATTTTTTTTGGAGAGACAGTTGGTGAGAACAGCTTGCTCCATGGTAACATTACTCTTTGTGCCTGAGGCTGATTAGGGGAAAAAAATAGCTTTTCTGAACTCCTCTTGCCTCTCTCAGGATGTCCCCTGCTGGACTCCAGTGCCTTTTGTAGGCTGCCAGAACCAGAAGCTTTGAATTCCCCCCCTCCCCAGATGCTGCTTCAGGAGTCTCAGTGAGAGACCAGCTGCATCTCTATAGGACAGCAAATGTGAGGCAGTGAAGATGCAGTTTGCGAATTAATGTTATGGATGACATGTTGGCGTTCCTGTCAATCGGGGTCTCCATTTGTTCAGGCTTGTTTGTGCCCACTTTTTTTTAGTTTGGAAGTGTGGATTTGCAAAGTGACAATAACAGAAGTTAGAGAGGAAACATGTACGCACATAGAATGGATGATTAAAGAAAAAAGATGCTTCTATTTTGTCTTCATTTTGAGTTTATTGCAATCAGACGAAAAACATGCATGAATTCCTGATAGCCATATTGTGCAATCAAATAATGTTCTGAAGAGCCTCTTGTGACATCAGGAATATTCGATTCACTTAGTCTTCAAGTGGCTCCATAAATGTTCAGTGGGGTTGAGGTCAAGTGACTGTGGAGGAAAGTCCATTACAGTGTGCCCTTCTCGTCCTCTTTGGTCCTTCTGCAGTTCCGTGGAGTCTTAAGATGTACATGGGCTTATTATCCTGCTGCAGAATGAAAGCTTTTCCACAAAGATGCAACCCATCTCTCTGATGAATGAAGAGCTACTTTTCCCCGGTGAAGGTGGAGTCAGTTGAGCGAGGAGGCCCCAGACCTGAATGTTTCACCATGGCTCTTTGCATACATTCTTCTTTTGATAGGATTTTTGCAGAACTCCAAAACAGACAATTAGTGAATTGTCTGTCAGTGAGCTTTATGCATTGATCTTTTGATAGTGCCATATAAACCTTCAGTAAAGCCATGATTTACTGCTGAGGAAGTCTCTCTTTGCTCAGAATAACAATTTGACTTCACTGATTTCTGATTCTGATGTTTTTCATCAATACACTGCTATTTAGTTTGCACTGTTCTGTTGGAAACTTTAGTCACAGACATTTACATAAGAGGTGAACAATAGCTGCAAGTTCATTTACTTGAACAAGGTTCCAAATAAGTAGATCAGATTTACCAGAGTGTCATCTGAATGCTGCTTTAATAGATGAATTCAGATTTGCTTCTATTTGTAATAGCGCATGAGCTTAAATGTTGCGTCTCTATTTTACACATAACGTCTTGTTTTTTTTAATTCTTTCTCATTCTGCATGTTTTCTGATCATTTCCCAGTTCACATGAACATTAGACAGATTCTTGATGCAGTCTCAGAACTTTGGATTTTACAACAAGAAGACCAGATCACCCACTTCACTGCCATTTTGTCATTTTTAGTAACTTTCCCTCCAAATTGTCTCACTGTGTTTAAAACTACATTTAAACCTAAGCAATGTTGTTTAAGTCACTTCTAAAGCCGAGAAGGAAAAAGTAGGAAAATGTTCCTCAAGCACACACTTGGACACATTTAAATAGTTTTAATTCATTGCAGACATACTATCACCTATGAATTTTTTGGGACAAAGCTGCTGAAAATATAAACAACTAATTTTAAAATTGACTCAGTATTAGCAGATAATTAGAACGGACCTATCAGCATCTGGAGAGAAAACCCTGTTCAAATAAAGCCGTTTTTCTCAGAGCTCTCTAACTTTTATAAAGGAAATATCATTGAGGCCAATACTGGAAAGTTCTCTGGACTTTACAGTTCAATAACTGTACAAAATGTACTGTCACAAATCGATAAATAACTCATTGTAATCCGTCTTTGTCGATGTGGCTGCGCCGCTGTAATCAGTGTCTGAATCAAATATGTGCAACAGTATGTGATTGATGGTGTTATTATTATTATATTCAAAGTTTACTCTGTTTTTTTTTTAAAGGCTATTTTCACACTGCAGGAGACAGATTTTTAAAACTGCATCACCAACATAAGGTCAAACTTCACAGATATTCTTGCATTTGCTCTCAGTCACACACAAACTACAACAGTTGAAAATAATGAAACATTGCACACTACTGTAAAATATTAAGATTAAAGTACCGGAGAGAGCAATCAAGGAGCAGAGCACCACCTCGTGTGATCTCAACGGGAAGCAGATGTAAAGAAAATGGAGATTGTGGTGCAACTATGAATCAAGTTTGGCAAAGTCAGTCTTTCTTTGAGTTAGCTGGTTTAACAAAACCTAAAACTCAAGGCAGAGATAATTCATTTTACAGCAGCAGTTATTAGTGTTACATCTTTGATTGCCAGATTTTCTCCACCAGGTTCGGCTTTAATGCATCATTTGAGTCTTTCTACGTACCAAATGAACCAATCATCTGTTTCAGTCAAGAGAAGCTGGTTGTTCAAAATATTTCAGGTACAAAGCACAGTTACTGCAAATATGGCAAAAGAGGAATGTCAGTAGATGTTTAATATATTGAATTAACCACACCCTCAATGCATTAACAGCTGCACATTAGAGCTCTTAAACCTCATTCATTTAAACACAACACTGTCCCATAATAAAGGATGCATGGAAATGACTTTAGCATCTGGCCAAATCAAAATGAAACAGATTAGATTAGATAGAACTTTAGAAAATAAAGGTGAATGATTGAATATTCCCTCTCTCTCTCCTTGCAGCACATTTGGAAACTAAATAATAATAATTAACTGTGCATCATGTTGCCATGGTGATCCAGCGGTTTAAAAGAAAGCGACACCTTCAAAACTCTGAACTTTGCCAGCCGCCCCTCTGGTTTACCGAAGCGTCCCACTGACTTCCTGCATGTGTGGAAGAGGCGGAGTCTGAGCCACAGTCACCCATACTGTCGGAAAAGGGAATAGTTTTCATTTTGCGGTTTGCAAAAACACTCCTCAGGCTGTTTATTTCTTTTTAGCTGCCAGTATGGATACGCAGCTAAACGCACAGCTACAGTGACGCACCAGAAGTACGCGGCTGGGATTGAATTCTAATGTAAGTCAAGTTTTCGCTGTTTGTCTCTGATCACTTGTTTGTTTTATGCCCAACTTTTTCCCGTATTTATCCCCATAATGATGCATTATGTTATCTAAAAATGCCAAACTCACTCCAATCAAAGTTCTGCATTTCTTCTTTTACGCACGGATAACGGCTCGGTTCGCTTCGTGGTCATGTGGATGCCTCGCTGACCTTTACTCAGCTGACAGAATGTAAACGTCTGCACAAACTGACTTGTCCTTGTTGATATTCAGCAGAGTTGTGCGTTGATCCAGAGCTGCAGCCATGGTGCAGGAGTACCAGTCCCCTGTTCGGATCTACAAGCGTCCATTTGAGTTAGTTATGGCGGTGAGTAATGTAGTTAGAGCAAAGACAACTTAGTCTGTCACCTCTTAACTCATACCGGTGCCTCTGCTGTGAATATGTTTCTCTTGTAATTGTGTTGATGCTCGATTAGAGAGCCGTTTGCAAGCTGGTTTTTAGAAATAGGTATTAGTGTTGAGCTTAAATGTCCTACTTTTTCCCTTTTGACAGCTGATAAAAATGTAGATGATGTAACCGTGAGAAAAGAAGCAGCCAAGTTCATCAGCAAGAAATGTGATCTATATATATATACCTCTGATGTGGATTTTAGTCCAGCATTGTTGCAAATTTATACCGGAAACAGCAACAGAGACCACAGTTTCCAAACATTTACTCACCTCATGATAAGCTGGTTCCTTATTGAATGGAGCATTTGTCATTAAGATCCTGATGTTTTGTTTTATTCACCTGCAACCCAAAGCTTTAAATCCGCATAGGCAGCTCTAGGGGAAAGCAAAAGTAGGACAGAAGTGCAATAAATGGGTTTCTGTGAGAGGCGGCCTGAGTTCACCCACTCTTCCAGTTTGCTCGTGGTGTTGTTTCTTGTTCTCTGAAGTTACATATTAAGCCCGAGCTCCTTATGCAACAGCTCCAGAGTGAGGTAATAACTGTGATGCTGCAGTGACACTTTGTTCTGCAGCTCTGTGTTCCATAAGTTATCACAATATGGCCAACGCCTACATGCGTTGCCTTCTCGTGCAACACTGCAGGTCTGAAATTCTTGCTGTGTCACTGCTGGTTATTGAAAAAAACAACAAAAAAACAAGACTTTTGTTGAAACTGAATAACGGCTCCAATGAGAAGATTCAGGCCCTGACAACATAAAGGAGAGCGAGTAGTCCGGTGAACCACGTGCCGCCACCTCCACTCACATTTATCTCTCAGCTCTCTTATTAGTCCCCTGGCTGGTCCTGCCGTTGACGATTATTACTCCGGCTAACAGTCCTAATCAGTGTCCGGGATATTACTGAACGTACAAGCAGTGACGTCATTGTTGTCCCTTTCATGACACCTCCCTATGACTCTCCTGGGCCTGTCACATCAGTACAGCTTCACCGCAGAGCTACCTGTAAATGGTCGACACTTGTGGAGCTGCACTTCATCACCTGAGGAAATAAAACATTTAGTCATTAGACTGGCTTGCCAATGTGGAATATCCATCCATCCAT